AAAAATGGCTCTCTGGGAAGGTTACAAGTACAGTAGTATAATAAAACAACAGACATCATAAAACAGTTTATGAATTAACCAGTAAATTTTTGTTACAACACAACAGAAAAAGACAAACAATCAAAAACATGACAAATCCGTTCTACTACTGAAAATGGCCACTCCACCATCTTTAGTTAAGATCCTTTGTTAGGACAAAGTTTTCACAGAACAACACAGAAATACAAAGTCAAAATAATACAGTGTCATAGTAGATTGAATATAGTACATCAGTTACAACAAATAGGATACCATAAAATAAATGGAAATGCTCTGACAAAGAAAATTATTTTAAGAATCCATTTTTTAAAAAGCTGAGGAACTTAATGAAGATCTAAGAAACAATGTTCTGAGGCACAGAGCCATCAGTGAAAAGATTCTGTCTCTATTTAGTCTGCCCAACTGCTATATTTTTTCAATAGTGAGCCATAAAGCAGGGCTTAAATAGGTGATGAAGCAGGTTCAAATAGCTGATGGTCCTAAATTGCTTGTTAGTGTTGCAAAGGTCAAAACTAGGACTTCTAATTCCAGCCAGGAAACAAATCAATAACCATGGCTACTTATATAGGATCAGTGTGATATAAATTCATCTTGTTCATATTAGCATCACACCAGTTCCATTTTGTTCCAACAAGTTTCCAAACTGTCTCTAAAGACATCACCACATACAGAATGTTGGTAGAATCAAACCATAGAAGACTCTGGCCAGGCACTCAGCACCCCAGGGCTGGTGAGGAGCCTTGGGGACCAGTACAGGAGAGGACTACTTGCCTTTTCAGACTGTGGCTGCAAGCTGCCCCTCCCTGTCTTCCAGCCATCTTCACTGCCTCAGCAGAGATCATCAGTGCAGAGGGGAATCGCCTGGCCTGGCCTTCCAGCAGCCTCCTAGGCTTATTACTTGGCTCACTCTTGGGTGGTGGGTTGCCCTGGCAGGGGCAATCCTGAAGGGGACATCCCAGAAGAGAGTGCCCCTTTCGGATGCCACAACGAGGTCACTTTTTCACTTCTTTCTCATTGCTTCCCTTTCTATGTGGGCCTATGCCTGGGACTGTGTCTGAGAGGGTAGCTATGGGGACAAGTGGGGAGATGGTGGGAGTCCCAGTCAGCATAGTGATGGGTAGAGGGAGATATGGCACTGGGAGGAGGACAGACCGGGTAAGGGGGATGTGGCCCAGACAGCTAGCAGCTGTCCATGTTCCACTTCTCCCTCTATCTCTAGGTTTGATGGTTGCCATATTAGCTTGTCCTTGAGTCTCCAGATGCTGCTTTTAAATGCTGGATCAGTGCAGAATAAAACCTCTCATCTACAATTTAATAGTGAATGAGGCAGCCAATGTGGCATGTATAGCTGAGACCTGAGTGAGTGAACAGAAGGGTGTTACTTTCTCCCAGTTGTGTCCACCAGGGTACTTGGTTGAGCATCAAGCTAGACCTGAGGGTTGGGACGGTGGTTGCCATGGTCTATAAGAATTCATCTTCTCTCTCCATGTGCACTGTCTGTTTGAGGACTAGTTTGAAGTGTGTGCACCTTGTGTTGGGCCAGCAGGACAGATTGGGAATTCTGCTGGACTACTGCCCACCCTGCAACCCAGCTCCCTACCTGAGCTGCCAGTCTCAGATGTGATGTTTGAGTTCCCCAGACTGTTGGTTTTGGGAGATTTCAACATTCATGCTGAGGGCAGCCTATCTGGGGTAGTGTCATGGCTACCATGACAACCCTGGGACTGTCCCAGCATGTCATCAGTCTGAGGAATGTAGCGGGGCATGCTCTAGATTTGGTCTTTTTGGCCAGATATGAAGGCGGTGCTTTGAGTGTGGGGGACTTCAACTTAGTCCCTTTGTCATGGCCAGATAACCACCTACTGAGATTTAAACTAATTAAGATGGTCTACCCCTGGAGGCTCCTTCATGGATCACTGCCTTGTCGTGGCAAAGGGGCTTGCGTAGCTCAATGAAGCTATGAGCTATGCCATGCAGGGTCACCCAAGACAGACAGGTCATAGCAGAGAGCTCTGACAAAACATGATCCACTGGAGAAGGAAATGGCAACCCACTCCAGTATCTTTGCCATGAAAACCCCATGGACAGTACCAAAAGGCAAAAAGATATGACGCCGGAAGATGAGCCCCTCAGGTCGGAAGGTGTCCAATATGCTACTGGGGAA